CTTTTGTTTTATTAAGTCTCGCCTTTTCGCCCCTACGTGCTATTTTGATGAATCTATAGTTTTGATGATTTATTTTTAGTGTGTGCTTGAACTTGGCTCAGCACTTACCGTGCTAGACATTTTAATCCCTTGTTATGGTTGAAGATAACTAGTTTGCTAGGTGGTCATGTTTGAGTTGGTAAAACTGACCTTGAGTTTTACCCACACTGAACATCCTGTTTTGGAAGTTCCCACGGTTAGCTAACCCAAACATGTCTGTGATTTTTGTATTTAATACTGGAGCACTCCTTGCTGAAAGTAGTAGAAATAAGTAGTAGGAATAAGTAGTAGAAATAAGCAGTGGAACAAGGGAGAGAATAAAGAAGAAAATTACAGAGTCTCAGTACCTCTTGTTAATTTGCCAAGCGAGTGGTAAAACCCCTCAACATACGTTCAAATCAGAGTTACTGCTATGAGACTGGCTTTGTCCTGATAAGCCGCTCTACACTGTGTAGGATTCTTAAAGTGTGTTCTGCCTCTGTCCGCAAGTCTTTGCAAGGACTTGACTATGTCTCAGCTAAGGGTGCAAAGGCTTTTGATGAATTAGCGGCTGCCATTGAGAATCTGGGCGACTATAGCAAAGGTCTCTCCTTGGCAAAAAGCCAATATGAAAAATTAAAGCAGACAAAACGCTATCTTAAAGGCGATTTTAAGGTAGGACTGCTAAAAATACGATACATTGTTACGCGAAACACATTGCTTATAACAAATGTCTATAAATCCCCTTGGTTGTACATGTTATGGATGACATCAAACATATAATAACCATGTAATGTACAACTAGGAGCAATACCTTTAAGACTGAGACGCCAGTTTTTACCCTTGGAGAAGCAGAAGCGGCTGGCAGGGTGGGAGAGGGAGGCGAGGCAGAGCAAACCCTTCCATGGTTTTTTTCTTCTTTTTAGAAGGAATAGATCATTGCGGCGAGGTGCTTAAAATTTCTGCGACTTTCATTTGTCGCCCAAGGACAATTTGACATCACTGTTAATCCATGATTCTTCATACTGCCATAAATAACCGTGTTTTGACGCAAATAATTGAACGAATTTTCCATTTTTAGGCGCGATTCCCCATTGGATATAGGTAGATAAATATTCCTTCGATATGGTTTATTTGTAGGTACATGTATCGCCAAGTTCCAGAGTTCCAGGTATTTAATTATAATCTAGTTAAAACTGTACCTGTTGTTGATTTTGAGATGAAATTGAGGACTCTGAGTTTGGTGTGTTTCTTGCCATTTCTATGGAAGCTCTCCATGACTTGACTTTCTTCTGGTAGTATTGTGCAGCCTCTTTGATCTTTCTATCAGTGCTCTTCCTACTCATGCACATGCCTAGCTTCTGAAGTCGACTGAAACCCTAAATGATTGAAAATGAGTCCAAATTGTGTGCATGATTGATTTCCAGGCAGTGACAAAGGCATACCACCCTTTTTGGAATCTGTCACCTTCCAGTGACACTGGTGAGATGCTGACTAGCTGAGATGCTCTGACTAGCTGATTAGCAGTGACTAGCTGAGATGCTCTCCATTGATCAATTAGATAATTTTGAACCTACAGTTAAGCCATATTTTAAACTTAGCAATATTTTAAGTTCCAGCATGTGATAATCGTCCTTCACATTGCTAGGATAAGAACAATTTATTGTAAACAAAACAATTTTGCGTATGATGCACGATCCTCGCACTAGATAGCGCTATTTAAGCAATAGCGAAAATCAGACCTGTACGGGATTCGAACCACTGACCTCTGCGATACTAGTGCAG